CACACTGTCTCCCTCGCACACCATCCTCCCAGCTCGCCATCCTCCCTGCACTCCGTCCTCTTTGCATCCTCCCCTGCACATCATCCTCCCTGCACGCTATCCCCCTCGCACACCATCCTCCCTGCTTGCCGTCCTCCCAACACACCATCCTCCTCACATCCTCCCCTGCACATCATCCTCCCTGCACGCTGTACCCATCGCACAGCATCCTCCCTGCTTGCCGTCCTCCCAACACACCATCCTCCCTGCACACTAGCTCCCCAGCCACCCTCCAAGACTGACCTCCTCTCCCTCTGCCCAAGTACTTGTAGGTGTCCAGCGCTCCCGCTGTGCCTGCATCTCCCGCTCCCCCAGAGTCCTTGCTCTCATCTGGGGAAGGGTCTTTCTTCTCATCACCTTTCCAGAAAGCTCCTTTCCTTCTTATAAAGACACAAAGCACATGCTGTCCAGCCAGGCTCTATTACTTGATCCAAACAGATATTCTCTAGGTTCCTTTCTTGCACTCTCAGGCACACAGAAGTCAGCCTCCTCCCTACATAGCAGCGAGGAGGGCAGGGTCTAAGATCCCCTCACGTCCATCTCTCCTAATAGCATACATTCTGATAATATGTCTCTTAACCTTCATCTTTAAGCTTGATGAGTCCTAAGATTCTTCCATATATCCTCATGTATAGTAGGTTCATGGACAGGTCCAAAGGACACATCTTCACGAAATGTTATTAATTAATCTGGGCGTGTTATAACATCAGGGCACATGGAGATGCCCCCACACCACCGGGGCGCATGGAGAATCCCCCCACCCTCCACAATGCTGGGCTTTGCACTGCAGCAGGCTAGCAAAAGAATACAAGACAGTTCCTGGCTCTGAAGAAGGAGACTGTATCTTAACTGTCTATTCTCAGGGCACCACCTGTTGGTGCCACTCATGTAAACAGTAATCTTTACATATTAAAGGTTCTGTTCTCATTATTTTTAAACTAAATCAGGGTAGGGGGCATTGCTCCGGTCTCTGATACATATGCAGTAAAACAAAAGATTATCAGGAACTAAGACCAGATGCCTCCCCGACCCGGAGACCACCCCCCTACATAACTGGCCTGTAGTCTTTGTTCTGTAAGATGGTTCTTTTGGATGTTAGTCAGCCACCTTCCCCCTTGCTAACAAGCTGTAATAAAACCCTTTCTCTCCTACCACCTTGCCTCTCCACTATTGGCATGTCTTGCGGTGAGCAGATGACCTGCCTTGAGCAGTAACACACCCTCCACCCAGCTCATACTGGAAATACAAAGAAATATTCTGTTGAATAAATATATGCAGATACAGGCCTGCTATAAAAACAAGTGAATACAATGGAGAAAACACTATAATTCAGGTGAGTGCAAAAGACTTTGGGGGCACAAAAGAAAGACCAATGAGTATTGGCTCTGAGGGTCGGGGACATGTGGTCATCTGGGCAGTGCTTAAACGTTACTTTAAATTCCTCACGCCATATCTGAGTTTTGGAAATGTTTTTAACAGCTTATAATGAAGCTCAAACTCATATACTTTGAATTACCATTATTAAAACTTTTAAAGTTGGATTTACCACTGCAGGGCTATAAAAATTTAAGAGTAAGAGTTATAGAATTTACTAGGAAGCCCGTAAAGATGATCCTAATCAATCCTCCTCCCTCTCTTGGAGAATCGGGCTGAGAGAGAGGTGTCCCCTGTCCACAGCTCCTCAGTGCCCCAGGACCAGGTTTGAGTGTGTGACTCCAGCCACTGCCCTATCCTTCCGTCTCACCTCTCTTAGTGAACTGAAGGTAAACAAACTCTTGAAAATTAAAAAAAAAATGTGGATAAAATTGGAAATGAAAAATCAAAAGCTCCCCTCTTAGGGAAAGTAAAGGATCCAATGGCTTCCCTATGGGCTAGATTCTTCCTGCCACTGACTGCAGCCCTCCCCAGGGGTCAGCTGGACAGCCATGGCTAGAAGATTCGGCCCACAGCAGACTCTATCCCACGGCCTCACCACTGATGTGTCCC